CCGTCCATGATGGAAAATATGATATGTACGGGAAGATGTACGCCAAGGGTGACTTCAAAGCATACGGAAAAGAAGATGAGGGTCAGAAATTCGAAGAAGTGACCACGTTCCGTCGTGGTGGTGGATATGATAACTACGGTAAGAAGAAGTCCTATGACGACTATGATACTCGTGGACACATGAAGAAGTACGCTAACAAGGGTATGCAATCTAAATTCGATCTGTACGGAAGTGTGAAGGCTGACGGTAAAGCTGCCGCCATGGGCAACATGAATGCCTATGGAATGTTCGGTTCCCAAGGTAAATATGATCAACACGGCAAAACAAACGATCAAGGCAAATATGAGGAAGGCGGCAAATACAATGCACACGGAGACTTCGGACTCTATGGCAACCTGAAGGGTTATGGTGGATCAAGCGCGGCTCGCAAATCTGAGGACTATGGTAAAGCTGAACAATACGGTGAATACGGAAACCCAAGATACAACACATATGAGAGGGAGACCCCATATGATAAATACAGTTACTAAGTAAATAACATGTAGTTATCTCGAAAGTAATACAAATCAATTTTAATTCATAAAACATCTGTTGTTTACATCACTTGTTATTGGTTTCGAGGGAAACAGTCTGAAAATTATTAACCCGTATTCATCCCTGATACCGTTTAGAGAAATACAGTTGTAAATGAGGAGTCAATCAATTTGCTAAGATGCTTTCACGAGGAACGCAGCATCTCAGTGCATGCAGGTATTTCGAACAAGATCTGATGATGATGATTTGAAGCATTGCGACTAAAGCAGAGATATCAGAGCGCTCAGTTCGGAGTTGGAGGCACTGGATTTTAGCACGAATATTTGGAATCTAATTTTTCGGTTGAGACTGTCTGTATATGCATGGTGGACTGCTTTTAACAGCAGAATAAGCACATTGATATGCAAAAACGTATAAACCTAATCCACCAGAAAAAATTGCACAAAATTCTACCTTATTGTTTAGAACAGTGTTCACAATCTCCAGAATTCATAGATACGATCCTATCTGATTTTCCTGAACGATACTCAACTAACCTTTCTTCACAATCACCAACGTTACTCATACAGTTCAGCTGAAATTCGATTGCATGCTGGAGGAAGCAAGAATTTGGTATTCACATTGTTTCGGTCCAGATGAAATGAGCAATGGCCGAAATCGGTTATGTAATGATGTTTCTAATTTTCGGCAGTTTCTTTTGAATGGATATTCCTAAGAATTAGAAATTCGATCTGTTTGTTTATTTTCCTATCACTATATAGGACCTGTAAACTGATGTAAACTTTGAAATCGCCAGATCGATTTTATCGCGCATAATTAATTTGAAAATATTCAAGCCACCTCCCCTTGAATTGATTGATCGCAAAATCACTTGATGATCAGGTAGGGCAACCACGATTGATGACAACTAAAATAATCATGCTGACCTAAAAAACGTTTTCGATTGGTATTGGTTTCGAAACTTCGCCATTGACTGATATTACTAGATCTCAGCTCATAAATGACGCTGAAGATTCTTCCGCGGACATAGGCTTGCCTCGCCAGCAAACCCCAATCAATTTCGATGGGGGTTTAAATCGGGGCTGTGGTTGAACCGATCACTGATTTTAGGTACCACCACTGAGGTTAGTGTTATACATTTATGGTGAATTTATCTTTCTGGAAACCTCCACTCGTGGTTGACCGTCTAATAAACAGAACTTCAAACCTTCACAGACCCACCACCGAAGTCAAGCTTTCTTTCCCGCATGTCATTCTAGAAATACATTAATAGTCTGTTCACACCGTCTGAGTTGAACTTTTCCATCCTCAAATTTCTCAGTATTCAATTTAACATTCCATTTGATGTGATTCGTTTTTACCCAATCGACTTGTAGTCCTTGACCTTCAGTCATCCAGTCAAGTGTTCTTATCATTTCATATTATTCATGCTGTACGATTGAAGGATACATAGACTTTCCGTCAATTGAACAGTCATTCAAAACTGAACCAGGCAAAGGTCATTGACTGTGTGTGTGTGTGTAGTTAAGGGAGACAGAGCAAGAAAATAGGTCCGTTGACGTTATTAGTCCTGGGTGTGGGGAAAACCATCAACGTGACGATAAGTTTGCTGGTACTCCTCAGGCGAAGCGCGGGAACGGACACGAATAATACCGCTGTCGAGCTCTTTTGGGCTGAATGTGATAATGATCGACCTGAGCATGGTGACTTATCTATTGATCCATCATTGCATGACTTGTTTTTGCACCCGAACAACTAATCCAACCAATTCAGTTATCACCAGGTTCGTTCTTTCTCGTCTAAACTTCACTCAATTAACGGCTAACAGTATAAAATCCCCTCACAACCGAAGCCTTCATCCTCGTTCGGCAGCTCAGTTAAAACTGCTTGTGTTTAATTATGGAAAAGTCACTTCGTTCTGACTCAATGTGCCTTGTGATAGATCCAGTCAAATAGGTCACGGATGACAGCCGACATACTAATCACTTTGTGATGCTTCGAGTAGAATACCATTGGTTGAATCACTTTAAGTTATGGCGATTTTATTTGAAGTGAGGCATTACCTGATCGAGCCAAACTGCAAGTCACGAACAGAAACCGAATGGGTACAATTTAGACTTACCACATTCAGATGTACATATGACGGACCTGCTTTAACATTCCGCTGTACTTTCTAACAGGCATACCTCAATTATATCTTCAGACCAAACCCGCGGTGTTCTTGAAAATCATTTGCTGGTTCCTCAACTGTTCGTTGCATCCATTGATCTCTTCATATTTGCTGTAACATTTTCGCGAAGTTTTAGTTGACTCTGTACGTACAGCTGACCGCCAACTGTGTACGTTTTTAGCGTACTATTGTAATGGAAATAGGCACGAAGTAAGGATCAAGAATCAGGGAATAGAGGTCACGGCGCACGCAG